GAAGTATTATAACGTAACAATTATTGCAATATTGAAATGCCCGGAGCGAGCAACTCATTCCCACTTTGTGCAATCTTCTAGATAATCATTGACTTCATAGTAAGCTTTATTGCACAGATGTTCTTAAAAGTTTTCTTAAACCTATGTATATGTAGGTTCTGAACATCTTGTAGGATTTTCTTGTACAAGCGCACAGACAAACACCCGAATGAATTTCGTATCTTATGTAACCTACTCATCGGCACATCAATAATCGGAGGCGCTGGAGGAACATTGCAGGAAATAAAATCCTGTCAAAAATGACGGTCACGAGCCTCAGCAGTGAGGAAAGAACGCGAGGAGGAGGATCTGGGGATCTGTAAAAACGTTAGGATGTCGACAATGACTGGCACCTGCGTGATCCTGAATCGGGGAGTAGTCAGCGGCAACCATGATGATGCGATTTTCAAGACGCATCGTCTTATCGTAGTTCAGATTGGTACGTTGCAAAAACGATCAGCGAAATCGTGTTTCAATTACGAAATTTCTGTGGCAGAATTCAAGGAATGTAATGATTGTGTCTGAGCCTAAAGTAACAAATATCAATCAAACAAACAGTGTTGCGTTAATACAAATTAAAACAAACAATCATTGTCAAACAACTAACAAAACAATTGTTTGAGATAATTAAAACAATTATCTGGCGTCTGTGAAAACAAATAACTCAGGACTAAGTTATGAGTGTAACTTTAGGCGCGTGAGCTCGTAACTTAAGTTTGACTGATTTTGCGTTAAGCACAATTACAAATTGAAATTATTTGCTCGAAAACTGAACAAAAAAGTCACCTTAGCAGAGAAAAACGAATACTAAGTTTTTATCCAATTCTAGTAACAAAAGAGGTGTATAATTTATGTATAATTTGTATATCTCTGGAGTGAACCAAACTCTTGCATTTTTTTTAATTCTTCGATGGGTAGACGAGCTCACGGCCCACCTGGTTTCAAGTGGTTACCGGAGCCCATAGACATCTACAACGTAAATGCCGCCACCCACCTCGAGACATGAGTTCTATGTCTCAGTTTTTACAGTACATGTTTCATTGGTTCTTTGGGTTCGTATGAAACGCTCTTCTGTAATCGAGGTTTGAATCAAAAGATGTGTGGTGTCGTGGGACACCGGACAGGAACGAAATTCCTTATTATAAAAATATTAATTTTAAGCTCTATTCGAGGTATAAAGAAAATAAAACTGGAGGTTTCACAACAACCCACGGTCACTCGGTAACGTGCGAACTTATTGCGGTACACTTCATTCACGGGTGTTTGCATAAGAGTTAGTGTATTGCACAAACGAACGCTCTGAGATCGTGGTCAATGAATGATAAAAAATATGTAATTTTTTTGTACGTTATTACAAAGTTAAGTCGTACACTGTGTGCATTACTAATAAAAATCTTACTTTACGGACGTTCTTTCCGGTTAGGGTGGAGGGGTACCCTAGGGTGGAGGGGCATCGTCCCATAATGAACTTCTTTCCAAAACCTCAGCATTGTCTTCATGAACAATAATGACTCGTACTAAGTACCATGCGTTCTGTAATGGACTATAACGGTACTTTGCGATTCCTTCAAACAAGACCTTCACTACATTATTACATATACATAATAATATGTATATTTACATATAAATAATTTGTAGCTGAATATATTATAACTACACAAGGTGAACCGGAATTAAAATTCAACTGATAAATTATTTCAGAGAAGCTACAGAGAGCATTGTAATAACAAAATGATAATAATGTACAAAACCCAGTGGAGCGGAACGAGGAAAAATTCGATTAATTAATTATTTTTTTAACCAACTATTTAAAGAATGTTTGGAATTGTGACGGTTATTTAGTTCCTAAGTTTGTTCCTTAATTGATTGCTCTTTTAGGCAGACGAGCATACGGCTCACCTGATGATGAGTGGCTACCGTCACTCTTGGAGGTCAACAATGCCAAGGGCAGAGCCAAGCCGCTGCCTACCAGATTCTGTGAAACACTGTTCTCGCTAGGGCTAGCGTTAGCAAATTCACTCAGGTTGAGCCCGCGAGCTCACCTACCTGGGCGTAGCTGGAATAGCCCCTTAGCAAATAGGTGGCAAAAAAAAACTTTTCGGCAAATCGATTTCTTTTTTATTGATTAGATAGTTGGACGAGCTCACAGCCCACCTGGTGTAAAGTGGTTACTGGAGCCCATAGACATTTACAACGTAATCGCGCCACCCACCTTGAGATATAAGTTCTAAAGGTCTCAGTATAGTTACAACGGTTACTCTTCAAACCGAAACGCATTACTTGCTTCACGGCAGAAATAGGCGGCGTGGTGGTACCTACCCGTGCGGACTCACAAGTGGTCCTACCACCAGTAATTACGAAAATTATAATTTTCCGGGTTTGATTTTTATTACACGATGCCTATTATTATTCCTTCACCGTGGAAGTTAATCGTGAACATTTGTTAAGTACCTACGTATTTCATTAGAAAAATTGATACCCGTCTGCGGGATTCGAACACCGGTGCATCGCTACATACGAATGCACCGGACGTCTTATCCTTTAGGCCACGACGACTTCAAAAATACTTCTCATATTTAATTAGCTAGGCAGAGTATTCATCGGACGTTAAGTAGTAACAATCTAACAATGCCGGGGGTACAACAAGGCCGCTTCTGAAAATCATGTTATAAATCAGCGCGCTATACCACAACGTCAAATAATATAGTCTAATAAATCATACACCTTGAATTTTGCTAGTAATTTTCCGCTTTGTTCATCGGTCTTTATTCTGATGGCTATCAGACTATACCCACTAGGTCAATGTGAAGATTTCCTAAATATTTCATCGAAATCGCTCCAGTTTGGATATGTAGTCTATAGAGGCCTATACACGCTTAGAAATATTTTGATATTGAACTAAGGCGGTACGTGTTCATCGTATTTTAATAATTTTATAAAATATAACAGAACTTCTTGATTCTAGAAGTTCCACCCGCAATAAATCTAAGATTTTAGCTGTCCAATCCTTGAAGAACAATTCAACTGATTTGGCTTTTGTATTTTGATAATAACCACGGTAAAATAAATAGTCTACGCCTCAAGAGGCTAATTAAACTTGATGAGTTTCCGTTAGTGAATCGAAAACATTTGTGAATTCGTAGAATTAAGGCTTTTTTATTTGTTTTGTAGTCTGGATATATTAGGGGTAGATTATCTAAGAAACAAAGCTATTAAAAATTAAACAAGAAACCCATCTTCGAGACAATTCGATTTCAGAATTATTATTTTTTGCTTTGTTGGGTGGACGAGCTCACAGCCCATATGGTGTTAAGTAGTTACTGGAGCCCATAGACATATACAACGTAAATGCACCACCCACCTTGTGATATAAATTCTACGGTCTCAGTATAGTTAAAACGGCTGCCCCTTCAAACCGAAACGCATTACTACTCCACCGCAGAAATAAGCAGGGCGGTGGTACCTACCCATGCAGACTCACAAGAGGTCCTACTACCACCAATTACGTAAATTATAACAATAATTAAGTAAAATATAATAATGGAAACGCTACACTTGAACTGGTTGCTACAGGGTGTATTATAAGTTTATAGAGCCAATATTGTAGCTTTCCTACTTGTAAAATGATTTATTATAAGGAAGTACAAATTTACAAAAAGCAAGTATACATTTTCGGTTTTGTCTATGGATATCGTGAAAGTAACTCGAACGGTACCGACGGAAAACCTGCGTCACAATATTGAATGATGCATCACTTTTTTTAATACGTCCATACGTATGCCTGTGTACAACCTATTTTATTTATTTAATATTTTTTATTCCTAAATAAATTCAAATGGTACCTAATAATTATAATTTAATTGATTGTATAATAGTAAATTGCTGCTCATAGTAGCGACGTAAGATAAATTTTCAAGATTCTTATTTTTATAAGCTCTTCTTAATACAAAATTTTAATTAGTAATGTTAAATCATTTTTGCGTGACTCCAACCAAAACAAAGAAACAGACCGATATATTTTTTTTAATATATCGATTATTGTGTTATTGGTGTCATTTTTTTTTGTAAATTCCTTTCCACTTTTATAATAGAAATACGTGTACATGTAAGGATGGACTTACTCTGTAGACGATAAAAATAATGCGTATGTCTTGAGCTTTCTTGCACTTAGACTTTGCAGCAGAATCTAAGGCAAGACTGTAAAAATATTACCCATTGCCCGCTTACTATACAAGAAAACACCATAACAACTATTCGACAGTCAATAGACATAAAATTGACGTAAAACAAAATTTGGTATTAAAATTAGTCCACAAAAGAAGATTAATGAAGCCCAAAATAAATTTCGGAATGATCGTGCGTCGCTAGTTTAAAAATAAACGTATTTATTTTTATCTCAAAGGTCGGGTCATCTAAATTAATATAACACAGATAGCTACAAGAACAATGTAGGGAATTCATATTTTTAAACTAAAAACATATTGCTGATTAATAAAGTAATTAAAATATTTAACGTGAGGTTATTCTTAGACCAATAGACAGGTTTTGTTGTACAAGCAAAGTGATTAATCCAAATAACGTATAAAAATCTAATAGGTATCACTGAAGGCATAACACAAATCAACAAGAATAAAGAAAAAAATATAAACTTCGGTGTACTTACAGAATCTTTAAGCTTTTCATAGCAAAAAAAAAAACTGAACTAAATTAAAAAATATATATATCTAGGTATATATCGGCTTTTATTTCTATAAAAAAATTGGGTAAGTAACTTTTACCCGTTTACTTTTTTTTTTTCTTAGATCTTTAAATATAATTATGACTTTCGTATGTGGAACACAAAAAAAACATGACGAATGACTACGATTAACTAAAACAAAACTGTGTTTTTTTTTTTAACCCAAAATATTTACTTATAAAATAATACACGTTACTGCGATAAAAAAGAAAAAAGTACTTACAATCAATTCACTCGGAAATGCACAAATAACTTCAAAAAAGTTGTTGAATAAATTTCACTAAGAGCACAAAATATTAAATGAAAATTTTACGTCATTTTCAAATCGACTTAAACTTTAGAACGTCTTTTGTTTTCTCAATTTGAATCGTCGAAGTTTCGACGCATCGAGACTCTCTGCGGCCGCACGTTTTGGCGCGTTCGCTCTCAGCCGGCGCTGTGTAGCGAATGCCTGAGGGAGCATTCAACATTCCCGCTTGTTCAATCAGATACATACAGACAATTCCCGATGTATTCAGTCAATTAAGATTACGATATTGAAGACTTTTATAAATCTTCTTGTGTCTTAGTATGTTAATAGAGACAACAAGAAGAAAGTATATATCTATGAAAGAATTTAAATTCGGTTTCCTTTTTTCTTTTTTTCCTACCTATGAGTAGCCTTGAGAGGCTATATTAACTTCGTCCTAATATGTAGGTGAGCTCACGGGGCTCAAACCGGAGTGGTGCTAACACTAGCCCTAGCAAGAGCAGTGCTTCGCAGAATCTACCACCGGATCGGAAACGCGACCCACTGAGAAGATCCGGCGAGAAATTCAGTGGGCTGTGTCTGTGGGTTAATTCGCTCGTCGGATATTCTATGTTATAATGATATCCCATACACAAAAGCCATTGAGTTTCTTGTCGGATCTTCTTAGTGGGCCGCGATTTCGATCCGGTGGTATATTCGCATTGCTCTTGCTAAGTCACAGTTTAGCAAAATCAGGCTGAGCTGGGTTCCCGCCCGGTCCGGGGTAGGGCGCCGGCTCTGAGCGGCAGGAGTTTTTAGTAAGGTTCGACTCCCACATACCCCACCTGCCGTGCGGGTGGGAATCCGGCGATTTTCTCCTGTGGAAAAGAAAAAGAGCCCCATGAGTTCGCCCTACTAATTTGGTAAAACCAGAATAGCCCCCCGAGGCTACTTGTAATGAGGTAGGGAAAAAAATCCCAAATATGTATCTGGCAGTAATTTTTCTTAACTTATAAATCTCACAAATACCATCATCAACTTGGAGACATAACATTACTTTGATCCATCTAATGCAAAATTCTCATAACCAAAACATTACAACGTTTACGTTAAATAATTAATATAAATATACTAATACTCTTTCATAATGGATTTGAATTGAATACCCAATGTATAATATTAAAGAAATAAATGTCTCTTTTTTTTCAAATTTTGCATTTTACCGCTTTTTTGTCAAATAATACTTTTTTTTCCTACCTAACCTGGTAACCTTAGAGGGTTATGCCGGCGTTACCGAGCGAGAACCAAACATAACGATGCGACGTCCATACCGCTTCGCTAAGGCCATGACGGCAGATAGGTCACCCAAAAAAGAAATATAGAAAAAAAAACATTATCCTGAATTTCGGGAAGAACTGCGCACATTATTCCAATTGCTGAATATGTAGAACGCGTGAAAGCTAAACTTATTTTCCTTAAACGTACCCACAAAGTTTCTGATGAAGAAAAAAATCTAAATAAATTCCTCGAATTGGTTTTCGTTGTAAAGCGATGAGTCGGGTTCTTATAAACGTATTCATGAAAAATTTAACTCGAAGTTAGAATTTCAATGATTTTTCCTCGAACATTTACTAAATTTTAGCTTACTAGCAACCACGCCATGTTAACTGGTCCCGTGATAAGTTCGTAAAGAACCTGTGTTACAGGTACCAGATAACGGATATAAATGTAAGATTTTTATTATACACATACATATATTTAATATTTAATATACATCCATAACTCTGGAAAAGACATTTATATTTATCATACGAATATCTACCCTTGGCGGGATTCGAACCCGCGCCCCCTTGTGTAGTGACCATGTCACTTACCACTACACCAGACGGCCAACATTAGGAGAGTTTTAAGATTAACTGTTTGAATTTCGTCTAATAATATAAGTCCAGATTTTTTTTCCTACCTATTCTAGTAACCCGTGGGGTTATTCTAGATTCACCGAACTAGTAGGTGAGCTCACGGGGCTCAAACCGGGAGTGTTGCTAACACGAACCCTAGCAAGAGCCGTGCTTCGCAGAATCTACCACCGGACCGTAAACTCGACCCACTGAGAAGATCCGGTGAGAAACTCAGTGGGCTGTGTCTGTGGGTTAATTTACTCGCCGAGCCCTTCGTCGCAAGCAACGAGTTAAGACGAGAACGATGACCGGACTCCAGATATTACAGAGCTGTAATTACGTCTATTAGTCTTTTATTGGTTATTTCTAATGATGGAAGACGCGGCAATCGAACGCAAAATGATAATATATCGCTACTTACCTTGGAACTAGAATACTGTTTTGCCGGTAACAGTAACGCCATCTATTGCCGAATAGCCGAACGAATATCAAAGCATCTCGAGCTCTCGAGAAGTACAACGCCATCTATTGCCAGATAGCGGAAACACAATACTCGTATTGCTTGGAACATTCTTGATAATTCTAGGGATGTTGTGTCGACTATAAAAGCGCTGCAGAGATGGCACGCAGTCAGTAATCGGAACTACTCAAAGCGAAACAGCGAACGGATCACCTGAAGCGAAGGGGAAGAAGCGAATTGAGAATTTTAAAGTGTTTGTGAAGTGTTTTAAGTGTTCTAAGTGATAAATACAGTTTGTAAGTTGTACTCCGGTAGAATTTTTATTTATCCCGAACCCTAGCGCGTAACAATACTCAATTTTATCAGTAGTCACTTAATCATATAAACAAAAACCTTTATTAATTCAAACTCTTTAATTTTTAAAATTAGTTCCCTCATCAATTCATTTATTGAAGCTAATTTTCTAGAAATCTAAGGATCAAGTACACTCTTCTTATCTTGTACATAGTCGGGACCTATAATATAGCGTACATTTTAAACTAAAGACCGTTAACTGTGATACTTCGATTGGTTATTTATACATGTAACATAAAAAGGGTTCTAATTGACCGTCACTCTAATCTTCCAATATTCTAGCAGAAATAAGCAGGAACGTTACGCTGTCACACTCCCCTACTGTATAAGAAGTATATCTAAACCTGTACATCTTCGAGAAAGCATAGTAGGAGAAAAGATTGCGACTGCTGACCTATTTTTAAGGATCTCTGCCTGTTACGACCAAGGACGCAACTAAAAGGGTAGGTATTTCTCGCGAACTTACCAACTACTTACTGTTATAAGACTATTGTGCAGCGGAATGAAATATAAATACCGAGTAACTAAAGAAAGCGTTCACGGGTCGCAATCTAGTTTGTTAATAAACAAATAAAACTCTTCATCGCAAACAAGTCCTGATTCAGATTTGAAAACAGTGAACATAGACCATATTAATAATGAGAGGGAAAAAACAATACATTGTAACTTAACACAAGCATAGATAAAAAACTTTTTTTGTGTTTTTGAACACCAAATTATACAAACTAGTGGCCGCCCGGTAGTCGAAATTCGACTATAATTAATTGGAATTGTAAGTTTGTACACTATTATGATTGTATTTTATACTTCTATAATCACAAATTTCGCCAAGACTACACTATAAAAAATATTAACAAAGACAAACAATATTTAATCTATTCTCAATTTGACAACAGACGTCAAGAACAAAAGTTTGACAATAAATAAATAGTATGAATGCGTGTGTGCGTCAAATACATGGTAGTGGTTGTAATGTTTTCTTTATTGATTGAATTATTAATGCATAATTTAAAAAAAAATTAGCATCATGCACTTCTTCTCTATATTCTCTATAAGTGTGGAAAATTTCATAATCCTCCGTCCGTGCAATTTTCGTAATAAGGGATACAAAGTTTTTGCTTTACGTATTAATATATAGATAATTATTTAATACAGGTTTGCTTTTAATTATACGATACTTTTTAATATGCGTTTCGATACCTATTCTATTATCAGTCCTCATACTTAAGGTACCACCACCCCGCCTATTTCTGCCATAAAGCACTAATGCGTTTCGGTTTGAAGGGTGGAGCAGCCGTTGTAACTATACTAGAGACCTTAGAACTTATATCTCAAGGTGGGTCGCGCATTTACATTGTAGGTGTCTATGGGCTACAGTAACCACTTAGCACCAGGTGGGCTGTGAGCTCGTCCACCCATCTGAACCCACTGAGAAGTTACTCGCCGAGCCCTTTGTCGCAAGCGACGGGCTTGACGAGAACGATGACCGGGGGAAGAGCTCACGGCATTTCGTCGTATTAGGTAAATACGGTTAGTGGAGCCCATAGACATCAGCGAAGTTAAGGCGGTCACCCGTCTTGAGATATGGGTTCTGTGCTTCTGCTTTATAGTACAATGGTTACTCCACCCTTCAAACCGAATCGCATTACTGGTTCACGGCAGAAATAGGCAGCGGCAACCTAACTGTGCGGACTCACATGACACCATACCGCATCAGTAATTACGCAAATTATATTTTTGCCGTGTTTAATTATATTACACGATATTATTTCTTCATCGTGAAAGTCATTCGTGAATATCTGTTAAGTACGTACATAATTCATTAGAAAAAATAGTACCTGCCTGCGGAATTCGAACACCGTAGCATCGCTAAATACGAATGTACCGGACATCTTATCCTTCAGGAAACGATGTCTTAGAAATATGACTCAGCATCAACTCAATATCAAGACGTCCACAAGTTGAACATCCGAAATCAAATAACTAAACTCTTACGCGAATTCACTTATTAAATTCAATAAGGATATCCAGTTGACACACGCTTAAGTTATTAACAATGTCAATACATTACTAATACGCTGCCAAAGGTCTTTATACTTAAATAAAATTCATTTACCAAGCATACTTTAATCAAAATTGAAAAAAACAATCATAATCTTCCTTTGTCGTATTCGTAACATATCTAATTAAAAAGAGAAATATTAAAATTAATATAAAAAAAAACAAGATTAAGCTGAGTGAGTTTTTTAATAAAGATGATATTATAACCCGAGCATTGCTTCCTTCGGTTTCAACCACTTTTAATAATAGCGTATCGAAAACCGATTTGAGGTAATTGAGACTGTAATTTGATTTTATTGTAATTTTATTGTGACCGACTAAAATTTTATATTTAAAATCACAAAAGCATTAAGTGTTCTTACTTATTAAAGATGTTATCAAACATTCATTACGCTCGCTCGACTAATCCAATTTTTATTTTATTTTTATTGCTAGATGGGGGGACGAGCTCA